GGTTTAAAATAAGTTTTTTTAACTTAAAATAAGTTGTTTTGAGTATTGCCAAACAGCTAAATAAGTCAAAAATCAGCTTTTAAGTCAGTTTGACCAGCTTTTAAGCTGAGCCAAACAGGCTCTAAAAAAGAAAGAGAAAAATCATAAAGCAAATCTAATCTCTGAAAAGTATGCTAAAATATTACTTGGACGTAACAAATTTCTTCTCACACCTTGAAGGAAGGAAAGATAGATTACTTGATTGGTGATGGTTCTAAAGCCATAGAAGAATAAACAATTTTACTATTTTTTAATTTTTTTTTTCTTATGGTAGTAATTATTGAATAAATCATGTAAAATTAGTTGTTTACATGAGTATTAATTTTTTTAATTAGTATTAATTTTTTAATTAGTTTAATTATATTATCATAATTCATTATTAAATTGAATTGAATTTGGTTTTGACTTAATTAAATGATTTTTTTTTGTTTTATTTGCTTACAAGTTACAGCAAAGAAACAAACAAGAACAAGAAGAAAGCTCTGTTGATTTGTTTATTTAGGAACTTTCGACTGATGTAAACCTCTGTCATTTTTTGTCATTGTAACCTTATTCACCATCTTTTATCTCAAGATATTTGAGTTGATTTTTATATACATTTGAAAAAGTTTTGAATGAATTTTATATACATTTAAAATTTGAGAAGTTTAAATTTGTAATTTAAATATTTTAAAGTAATGTAAATTGTAAACTTTAAATTAAGTATTTTAAAGTTAGTTTAGTACTTTAGTATATATTAATTGTATATATTAAAATTAAAATGCAAAACAATAATTATATAAAAAAACTTGAACAAAAGTTAAAACCTTCAAATTTAATTATATATAAAGTGTAATATAAAAATAATAATAACACAAAAATAAAGACAAAAAATAAAATATAAATATTATGAAACGAATGTACCAAACGTCTGCGTTAACAGCAGACGTTAAACCGATTGTTGTTGTTGTAACTTATAATTTGAAACTCCAACCAATACTTGATAACAAATATGAGATAATATACTTATATATATTGATATAATATGAAAATTTCGAATTGAAAATTGAAATATGTGGATTATAATAATATGAGAATTAAAATGGAATAGAAATTAAGATTGACGCTTGAGAGTTGAAAGTTGAAAGGATATAGAAAAATATATGAGAGAAATGAGAATAGCTGATTTTGTAAGAAATAGTATGGATAGGTGTACTTATAATATTAAAAATGGATTAAAGTGTAATTATTATAACTTGAGGGTTTAAAAAAGTTTGAAAAGTAGAGGGGTGGTAGGGGGTGTTTGGGAACACAAAAAGTGGCAAAAATCATTGGGGGGGGGGGGGGGGGCCTACTAGCCGTTTTCCCAACGGATTAAAACGGTAACTTTTTTAAAAAAAAAGAGGGGATCCCGCGAACCGGCAGGTTCAACCGGGTCGGGTTGACCAGGACGCAGGGGTGTACCGGCCTCTTACCGGTTCCCTCATCCCCCACCCCTTAAACCCCTAAACATAAGGGAATGGGCCGGGCGGGACGTGGGCTGGGGCAGGATAGCCCGGTCCCCCTGCCACCCCTACTTGAATGTAACAAATTTCTTCTCACACCTTGAAGGAACGATAGACATCCAAATTTCTTCTCACACCTTGAAGAAAAAATAGATTACTTGATTGGTGATGGTTCTAAAGCCATGGAAGAATATACATTTTTACTATTTTTTAATTTTTTTTTCTAATGGTAGTAATTATTGAATAAATCATGTAAAATTAGTTGTTTACATGAGTATTAATTTTTAATTAGTATTAATTAGTATAGTCATATTATCATAATTCATTATTGAATTGAATTGAATTTGGTTTTGACTTAATTAAATGATTATTTTTTTGTTTTATTTGCTTAAGACTGGTCAACGGACCGAAATCGGGTCACCGGACCGGAATGAACCGGTACCGTACCGTACCGGAATCCGTTGACCGGAATGTTGACCGGTACCGGGATGAACCGGACCGGAATTATCAGGATGGTTCATCGGTTCCGTTCCGTTCCACTACATACCGGGATGGAATCGGAATGAACCGGAACGGACCGGGATGGAACGGGACGGGATTAACGGGACGATATTTTTTGAAATTACGAAAATATAATTATTTTTTTATTTTTTAAGTATAACTTAATAGTTTGTAAATTTATACTATAATTTTTAACTTAAGTTTATTTTAAAGATATTTTATTAATTTTTTTGTTATTGTTAAGTTTGCAAGTAATCTAATAAAGTTTTCAAAATTTAAATCTTTTGAAGTTTATACTTTATAAGTTATTAG